CAAAAAGCTCAAAAGGAGTTCACACATTTAGACTTGAAAAGAGGAATTTTACATACAACAGAAGAAATAGTAGATTTGCAATTATCTGATTAAAGACAATATTTTATCATATTCTGATACAGATATTTAAACCACAAGGAAATAATAGTTAATGTATAGAATAATAGCACCTGATGCAAGGGAAAAATCTGACCGCCATTTCGGAGTCCTATTTTGTGACACATACACACACACACACACACATATACACACATTGCAACATACAAGCACACACACGCAGATCTGATACATACACACACCCTGACACACAGATACACAGATACACATACGCACAGAGATATACAAATTGGCACATACACACATATACTCAGACACACACATTTTGACACATACACACACTTTGACACACAAATACACATACTCACACAGATACATGCACTAGCACATACACACTTTGACACACAGATACATATTCACACAGAGATACACACTGACACCCAGATACACACACTCAGATATACACACTGACACATACACACACATTGCCACATACAAGCACACACACAAATCCACACACTGACATGTACACACACTGACACACGTCATAATGTTTATATTTGCAATCACACTTCTGTTAGCATACCTTTTGTCTGCAGAAGGGTGGCTTGCTTGAGATCTCTCAGGCTGATGTGTGTGGGGGTCTGCAGCAGCTCAGTCCTTCTTTCTCCCTCCTTTGCTGCCTGTGCTTCATCTCCCTCCAGTGCAGTGCTCTCTGTATGAAGCTGGGAGGAAGTGATAGGCTGTCACTTCCTACCAGTCAGCCAATAATATAGGCGCTCAGACATGCTCTTAAAGGGCCATGTTGCCCAACCATGACCCTGTTCAGCAATACCCATCGGATGGCCCTAAGTGCATGGGCCACCCAATGGGCCCCCTAGTGTGCGGGTCCCGGTGCAGATGCCCTGGCAGCACTGGCGGTAGTGCCACCACTAGCTGACAGCATCAGCTGATGCTTAATTTGAATTACATATTTCAAAGTTATGTAATCTCTTTCTATGCTTTCTATAAGACACCCTATTCAATCCCATTAATACACCACCAAATTACAGCTGAATTACAGAAAAAAGGAAGTGCTAGGTTGCACTTGTTGCTTCTAAAAGTGGTGAAAGCAGTTCATACTAAGACAAAGTAGAGACAAAAAAGCAGAGTCAAGCCTTGTCAAAGCTTGTCAAGTCCCCAACCATCACTAATGGCAGGGGAGAGGAAAAGGTTCTTTCTATGGAGGTTTGCTAATCTTGCCGGATCCTCCATAAAATTTAGTATTCTACTCTTGTACCGGACCAATAAATACCCAGTGGCCATGTAACCATTGTGGGGTTTTACAAATTATGTTAAGGAATGGCACAATTAGTTTTGCATACAGTACTATGTGTTGGTACCTTTCTTTCATAAATAAATACAATTGAATTATGTGTACTCTCTTTGGCATTAATTATATTTTGTATGAAGATCTTAAACCAGTTAGCTCAATTGACAAAAATGCAAAAATAAAGAAAATGAGGAATGGGCAAATACAGTTTGATATCACTATATGGAATGCATGAAAATTTGCTTCAGCCTGGAGAAAACCCACCAATATTGCTATTTAAACAAACTTTTTTCACATTTGACCACCTTCTCTTACAGACTCATTTTACTGTTCACTTGTTCATCCAATCTGTCCTGCTATTTTTACATTGCCACCTGAGGGTGTATGCTCCACATAGCATTCTGAAACATTACATGCGCTGAATTGTCATTTAAAACTACCCTGGGGAATTGAAAATAAACCCATCTCTTACAGAGTGAGATATATTATCTGCTTGTCATGGCTGATCAGAGACCTGTCTTTATGAACACAATACCTTTTTTCAGACTGCCAGTGACATGCAGCACTTCAGGAGCTGTATTGTGTGTCAGAGGAATGTAGTTTATTTATAAATATCAATAGAATATTAATTAGAACACAATAGTCTCAAAGACTGTCAATTCTTTTGTCATAAGCAAACCAAGTACCTGATACAGTTTTCAACATGCTCAATTGAACTATTAAAGGGACACTACAGTCACAAGAACAACTATAGCTTAAAGTAGTTGTTCTGCTGTCTATAACATGTTCCTGCAAGCTATTTAATGTGAACACTGGCATTTAAAGGACCACTCTAGGCACCTAGACCACTTCAGCTTAATGAAGTGGTCTGGGTGCCTGGTCCAGCTAGGGTTAACCCATTTTTTAATAAACATAGCAGTTTCAGAGAAACTGCTATGTTTATGAATGGGTTAAGCATTCCCCCTATTCCCTCTAGTGGCTGTATCATTGACAGCCACTAGAGGCGCTTGCGTGCTTCTCACTGTGATTTTCACAGTGAGAGCACGCAAGCGTCCATAGGAAAGCATTGTAAATGCTTTCCTATGCGACGGGCTGAATGCGCGAGCAGCTCTTGCCGCGCGTGCGCATTCAGCCCAGGAGGAGGATCGGAGGAGGATCGGAGGCAGAGAGCTCCCCGCCCAGCGCTGGAAAAAGGTACGTTTTTAACCCTTTCCAGAGCCGGGCGGGAGGGGGTCCCTGAGGGTGGGGGCAACGAGTATGTTTTCCTGGCACTATAGTGGTCCTTTAAGAAAAACGGCAATGTTTACATTACTGTCTAGGAACACCTCTAGTGGCAGTCACTCAGACATACAAATGTGCTTCCTGGACAAGAAACAAATGAGGGCAGGGACCTAAAGAAAGGAACCTAACCTCACTGAAATTACCTCCAATTTAAAATCATTCTAAGGTAATAGCAAACAGAAAATTCAACTTTATTAACCCTTTAAGGACGGCGGGCATGCTATGCCGTCCTTCGGGACCTGGCTCTAAACGCCGACGGGCAGCATAATACGTCCCCGCCGTCCAGAAGACTTACCTGCTCGCTGGCGATCCCATGCCAGCGATCGCAATGGGGGGACTTAACTGGCATCCCATTGAGTCCCCCTGCTGCCGATCTGGACCTCCTGGGCCATGTGATCGTGAGGTCCTTGTGAGAACCTCATGATCACATAGAAGGAATAGCCGTCCTTGGCAGTGCCAGCATGGGGAGTGCTTGGAATGACAGGTAGTCCCCCTGCTGCCTGAAATAAAATGGAATAAATAAAACAGTGTAAAATTAAACAATATATACTTCGATCATATATATATATATATATATGCACACACACACATACAAATACATACACATCAAAATACACGTAGAATAATATTAATATATATATATATATATATATGTATGTAAAAAACAGTTACAATTTGTCACTTGTAATATCTTTTTTATTGGACTAACAGAATTTTTTATTGACAAGCTTTCGGGAGAACCTCCCTTTCTCAAGTCTGAAGCATTTCTGAGCAAGACGACACATAGAATTCAAAGTTGAGTTGTAATACAGGGGTTAAAGCAACATGAGTGCAGATAAGACACAGGTTTGTTAGAAAATAGACACCATTTTTGCAGAGGGCCATAAATATATTTCTGAAGAGCAGAGTGAGGGGGGAGAGGGAGAAGAAAAACAAACAAGCAGACAGTGCAGAAGATGGTACACTTTATACATACACACACACATAAATATGTATATGCGAATGCATAAACACATGTACATATACATATACATAAATACATGTACATGAACTCATATACACAAATATAAATGCACAGTCATATATATAAGCATACGTGCATAAGAGTATGGGAAAGCCTAGGTCTACACATAGTACTTTATATGTTGATAGAATAAACATATTGGAATGCGTTTTAAAGTGTTGATACATATGACAGAACAGTAAGATAATGTGGGGGAGTGTTCATGTAAAGTGTTGGTAGTTCACTTTACATGAACTCTGTATATATACATGTGTTTATGCGTTCGCACATATTTATGTGTGTGTGTATGTATAAAGTGTACCATCTTCTGCACTGTCTGCTTGTTTGTTTTTCTTCTCCCTCACCCCCCTCACTCTGCTCTTCAGAAAGATATTGATGACCCTCTGCAAAAATTGTGTCTATTTTCTAACAAACCTGTGTCTTATCTGCACTCATGTCTCTTTAACCCCTGTATCACAACTCAACTTTGAATTCTAGATGTTGTCTTGCTCAGAAATGCTTCAGACTTGAGAAAGGGAGGTTCTCCTGAAAGCTTGTCATTAAAAAAGTCTGTTAGTCCAATAAAAAAGGTATTACATCACTGGACTAATACGGCTACAATATTTCTCTCTCTCTCTCTCTCGCTCTGTAACGAGAATATACCCCAACACGCAGGATTCAGCTAAACAAAAGACAACACAGAGGAGAGATACGTCTACCGGACCTTAGAATGGCCGGACTCGACGTATATGAGAGGAGACAGAGTCAGGAACAATCCGAAATCAAGGGCACAGAGAGACAGCGTAAACTAGGACAAGCCGGGGTCTGGTACACAGTAAACAACAAGCCGACAACCAGAACAGATAAGGATAAAGAGAAAACGTAGTCAGAAACAAAGCCAAGGTCAATACGGAGAAACACAACTGAACACAACAAGCGCTAAAGGGAACTGATACAGAAACCACGATAGGGCAAGGAACAAAGGGAAGAAGGTGAGTATAAATACCTAAACATCTAATTTGATTGGTCCCTGTCACATCCACGCCCCCAAAAGGTAAGTGTATGGGGAGTGTGGCATGACAGGGACCAATGGGATGCCTTTTCCAATTTAGGCACCCACTGTCCCTTTAAGAGCGCGCCCGATACCCGCGGCGCGCTCTTAGAGTTAGGTGGAACACGTGACCGCTTTCCAGTCACAGCCGTCGGATGAGCCGCGCGCGGCTCGTGCAGCAGCAGGACCGCGCGCGGCTCGAACAGAGGACCCCGGCCGGCCCCTGGAAAGGGTAAGTACCGCTACATTACCCCCCCTGAGGACACGCCCTCCGGGCGGGGAGGGCCAGGCCTGGCAGGAAAATGAGAATGGAAAGAGCGCACAAGACGAGGAGCGTGAACCGCGTCAGCGGAAATCCAACTATGCTCCTCAGGCCCTTCCAATGCACTAGGTACTGAAGTCGGCCCCTAAGGAAACGAGAGTCAAGAACTGCAGAAACTTCAAATTCCTCATGACCCTCCACAGAAACAGGAGGGGGAGGAGGTGCATGTCGGGTATAGCGGTTGCGTACGAAAGGCTTCAACAACGAGGTGTGAAAGACATTAGGAATACGCAGATTCTTAGGGAGACCCAAGGCATACAAAACAGGATTAACTTTATGCAGAATACGATAAGGACCAATAAAGCGGGGAGCCAATTTCATAGAAGGCACCCGGAGGCGAATGTTTCGCGTAGAAAGCAGAACCCTGTCCCCCACAACATAAGAAGGAGCCGCCCTGCGATGCTTGTCAGCCTGCACCTTCTGGCGAGCAGCGGAATCCACCAAAGAACGCTGAACCTGCTCCCAAGTATTACGCAAATTAGCCAAATGTTCATCCAGAACTGGCATGCCCTGTGAGGAGAAAGCAGCCGGAAGAACAACAGGATGTTGGCCATATACAACATAGAAACATAGAAACATAGAATGTGACGGCAGATAAGAACCATTCGGCCCATCTAGTCTGCCCAATTTTCTAAAAACTTTCATTAGTCCCTAGCCTTATCTTATAGTTAGGATAGCCTTATGCCTATCCCACGCATGCTTAAACTCCTTTACTGTGTTAACCTCTACCACTTCAGCTGGAAGGCTATTCCATGCATCCACTACCCTCTCAGTAAAGTAATACTTCCTGATATTATTTTTAAACCTTTGTCCCTCTAATTTAAGACTATGTCCTCTTGTTGTGGTAGTTTTTCTTCTTTTAAATATAGTCTCCTCCTTTACTGTGTTGATTCCCTTTATATATTTAAATGTTTCTATCATATCCCCCCTGTCTCGTCTTTCCTCCAAGCTATACATGTTAAGATCCTTTAACCTTTCCTGGTAAGTTTTATCCCGCAATCCATGAACCAGTTTAGTAGCCCTTCTCTGAACCCTCTCTAAGGTATCAATATCCTTCTGAAGATACGGTCTCCAGTACTGTGTACAATACTCCAAGTGAGGTCTCACCAGTGTTCTGTACAATGGCATGAGCACTTCCCTCTTTCTACTGCTAATGCCTCTCCCTATAAAAGCTGTCAGAAGTGGGATTTGAACCCACGCCTCCATGTGGAGACCAGAACACCCATATTGTGGAAGAAGTTGATCTTGAGTCTGGCGCCTTAGACCGCTCGGCCATCCTGACAACGTAAAAAGGACTCTTGCCGGAAGAATCATGAGTAGCGTTATTCCGAGCAAACTCAGCCCAAGGAAGAAGGTCAGACCAATTGTTCTGATGGTGGGATACGAAACAACGAAGGTACTGCTCCAGAGATTGATTGGCACGTTCGGCAGCTCCATTAGACTGGGGGTGGTAAGCGGAAGAAAATGAGAGAGAAATGCCCATTTCCGAACAAAAGGCTTTCCAGAACCTGGAAATAAATTGGCTACCCCTATCAGATACAATAGATACGGGAATGCCGTGTAATCGAAACACCTCTCTGGCGAAAACAAGTGCTAGTTCCCTGGACGTGGGCAGCTTGTGAAGAGACACAAAGTGAGCCATCTTGGAAAACCGATCCACTATCATTAGGATAACTGTGTTACCATTCGAGGGAGGTAATTCAACAATAAAATCCATGGACAGGTTAGACCAAGGTCTCTCGGGAATAGGTAACGGATGCAACAGCCCACAAGGAACCCTACGAGAAGATTTCATACAGGCACAAGTAGTACAAGCACCTATATAGTCAGTGACATCCTTGCGTAAGGAATCCCACCAAAAATACCGAGAAACCGCTGACACCGTTTTGGAAATACCAGGATGTCCAGCAGTCTTAGTGTCATGATACAACGACAGAATCTCCCGTCTCTCGGGAACATCAACGAACAGTTTATCAGTAGGTCTCTCGCTAGGTGCCATGTTTTGTTTTGCTTGTATGGCCTGCAAGAGGGACGAAGAAATAGACAAAACAGTGGTAGCGATTATCCTTTCTGGGGGAATCACAGGAGTAACATCAATCTCCTGTTTGTCAGCAGTTTCGAACTGTCTGGACAGAGCGTCTGCTTTAGTGTTGCGGTCACCTGGCCTATAGGTGATAATGTAATTGAAATGGGACAAAAATAGTGACCACCTAGCCTGCCGAGAAGACAATCTTTTAGCCTCACTAAGGTAGGATAGGTTCTTGTGATCCGTAAATATGAGAAAAGGATCTTTAGTTCCTTCTAACAAATGTCTCCATTCTTTCAGTGCTAAAATAATAGCAAGGAGTTCGCGATTACCCACATCATAATTTTTTTCTGCTTTGGACATTTGTTTGGAGAAGAAGCCACAAGGATGCAATGGCTTTTCAGGCGACTCTCTTTGGGATAAGACAGCACCTACCCCGATATCAGAAGCATCAACTTCAAGAATATAGGGCAGTGTGGGGATAGGGTGCTGTAAAATAGGTGCAGAAGCGAATGTAGTTTTAAGAAACTCAAAAGCCTGAAGTGCCTCGGGAGACCAGACACGAGTATTGCCTTCCTTTCTTGTCATACGGGTGATAGGCGCTACAATAGAGGAAAAACCTTTAATAAAGCGTCTATAATAATTAAAGAAACCAAGAAAACGCTGAATGGCTTTCAAACCTTGTGGAAGAGGCCATTCCATGACAGCAGAAAGCTTCTGGGGATCCATACGAAAACCTTTAGCGGAAATTAAATACCCCAAAAACTGGACTTCGGATTGGTCAAATAGACATTTTTCCAGTTTACAATAAAGTCCATTAGCAAGAAGGGTCTTCAGAACTGTCGTAACATGCCTGTGATGAGTGTGTAAATCTGTAGAGTATATTAATATGTCGTCTAGGTACACAATTACAAATGTGTGAATAAAGTCTCTTAAAACGTCATTGATAAATTCTTGAAATACTGCTGGGGCATTGCATAGACCAAATGGCATAACAGTATACTCGTAATGGCCAGATCTAGTGTTGAATGCCGTTTTCCATTCGTGGTCTTTCTTAATACGTATTAAATTGTATGCACCTCTAAGATCCAATTTAGTGAATACAGTAGCATGTTTGAGTCTGTCAAATAATTCCGTGATTAAAGGTATAGGATATGCATTTTTGATGGTGATTTTATTTAGACCTCTATAATCGATACACGGTCTTAAATCACCTTCTTTCTTTGATACAAAGAAGAACCCCGCTCCAGCCGGAGAAGAGGATCTCCTAATAAACCCCTTTTCTAATGATTCCTTAATATACTCCTCCATGACACGGTTTTCTTGAACAGATAAAGGGTACACCCTGCCCTTTGGAGGTATTGTGCCAGGCAATAAATCGATAGCACAATCGTAGGGTCTGTGAGGTGGTAATTTGTCAGCCTCCCTTTTATCGAAGACAGTTTTGAGAAATAAGTACTGAGGGGGTATAACAGTGGACAAAGGAGGAGTTGTAGGAACATTAATAGAATTCAAAGGGGTGACTTCAATAGTACAGGACTCATGGCAGGCATCGCTCCATGATTTTATTTGCCCTGACTCCCAATCGAAAATGGGATTGTGAGTACGTAACCATGGGTACCCTAACACAATGTGAGAAGAGGGAGATGTGATGACCTGGAATCGAATGGTTTCAAAGTGTAAAACCCCTGTATACATGTGTAATGGTACAGTTTCATGAGTAACAATTGGAGAACATAATGGTCTACCATCTATGGCCTAAATGGCCAAGGGTATCTCCCTTAATCTGACGGGAATGTTATTTTTCGTAACAAACTCAGAGTCAATAAAGTTCTCAGCAGCCCCAGAATCAACCAAGGCTAATATGCATTCTGCTATACAACTCACCCCCGTATGAAGGGAAACAGGGAGAAGCAAACGATTAGGAGGCAATTTAGGAGACTTAGAGATCACACCCAAGGCCAGTCCCCTATAAGGTCTTAGGTGCGAGAGTTTTCCGGACGCAAAGGACATTCCCTTACCATATGGTCTCGCCTACCACAGTATAGGCAGAGTCCATTCCTTCTTCTAAGTAGTTTTTCAGTATCCGAGAGTTTGGCAACCCCTAATTGCATGGGTTCCTCCTCGGGTACTTTAACACTCTCAGGTTTATCAACTCTAGGGTTAATAGATGTGACCAGACGTCTATTCTTGTTTTTGGTATAGAGCCTGTCGCGAATTCTATTATCTATATCAATGAAGTAGTCAATAAGATCCTCTAATGGAATAGGAAGCTCCCTTGCCACTACCTCATCTAATATAGTGTCAGATAAACCTTCCATGAACGCAGTAGTTAACCCATTATTGGTCCAATCTACCTGTGAAGCAAGGGTACGAAACTGAATAGCATAATCCGCCACAGACCTAGACCCCTGTTTAATCCTCATTAATGCTCTTGCGGCATTCTTTGACCTCTTTGTTGTGTCAAAAGTTCTACGAAAAGCCGCAAGAAAACTATTGAAATCATGAACCATAGGTCCATTGGCCTCCCAAATAGGATTTGCCCACTCTAGTGCTTTGTCAGTAAGTTGATGCATCAAAAACCCCACTTTAGACCTATCAGTGGGAAAGGAATGAGGATACATCTCAAGGTGGAATTCTATTTGATTAATAAAACCTCTGCATGTCTTGGCTTCCCCTCCATACCTGTTAAATGGGGCAAAGCATTGGTTGAATTGGATACTTCGGGAGGATGAGGTGTAGGAGGGTTAGGTGCGGTTGCAGGAATGGTTCTAGACAAGAGCGTCTGGAGAGCCTGTGCTATTTGATCCATACGGTGATCCTGCTCTACAAACCTTGCCTCGTGAGAAGCCATTTGCTGAGCCAAATCTGCGGGGTCCATGGCCCTATCGTAATGTAACGAGAATATACCCCAACACGCAGGATTCAGCTAAACAAAAGACAACACAGAGGAGAGATACGTCTACCGGACCTTAGAATGGCCGGACTCGACGTATATGAGAGGAGACAGAGTCAGGAACAATCCGAAATCAAGGGCACAGAGAGACAGCGTAAACTAGGACAAGCCGGGGTCTGGTACACAGTAAACAACAAGCCGACAACCAGAACAGAAGAATAAAGAGAAAACATAGTCAGAAACAAAGCCAAGGTCAATACGGAGAAACACAACTGAACACAACAAGCGCTAAAGGGAACTGATACAGAAACCACGATAGG